TGAGGGGGAAGGGGATTAACAGAGAGCATCTGTTACAAGTCTGGAGGTGGCTCTGACCCTAAACCGTGACAACTGCCCTTGGGAAGTTACTCACTGTTAGGATGAAACCAAGCAGTGCACATAGTCTGACTCCCACCATATTCTTTTTTTACCCTCAAAACAGCCATCAACAACCCAGATTCTTCATAATATACTCTTTCCTACCAGTGGATGAAAACTTTTCAATACCAAACCTTATGATAGAGTAAAAGCCTGTACCTCATAGGAAGCATGGAAATTGCTTCCTTCACCCCAAGTTTACTTGTCACCTATGATTTTCTGTACTCTAAGGAACACTACTTCTGGAGATGTTCAGAAACATGATCCAGTACAAGTACACAGGTATTTGGGAACTTACCACAGGGATTTTTGTTTCTTTGTAGTCTGGGTGTACCTGTTGGACAACATACAAATAAGATTACTATAAACATTATGCACCAGTAAGCAGAAATTGCTACAACTAGGGCAGAAGGGCTTTATGGGAGAGATCTGGGAATAAGTCTACCATACTAGGAAGACTTGTGGTCTGATCAAGCTTCCATGTGAGATGCAGACATTACACAGTTGTATGCAGTTACAGAACAGCCATCACAAGGATTGTTCCTTCTCTCAGTACTCTACAAAACCAGATTATACTCCATGAAGGATGTGTGTCCCCTCATAATTGTAAGCTTTTGTTTTCTGTCATTGTGACTGCTACATGTTCATACGGCTCAGTGTAACATGCTGGGTCCTGTTCAGCTCTTGATAAAGTGCTATGCTACCTGAATGACAATTTAAAAGTAATTGTCTAGAGACTTCCCTCGATATTTTTTACCATGAGAGGGGGCAAGAGAAACATATATCCCTTTCCTATTCTCAAAGCACTGCATTTCATACACCATACATGAGAAACGTGGCACACTAGCTAAAAAGACTATGTGATTTTTCTACCAACGCCCAACACTTGGTCCCATTCCCAGTACATCAACAAGGCTGAATAAATGTTCCCCACTATGCACCTGCTCCATTTGTGCAGAACCAGGCTGCCAGAAGGCAGAACTAATCCACCACTTTGTGCTACTTGGCCCAAGGACAACAGGAGTGCCAAGTCAGAACTTTGCACATTTCAATTAATTCATTGAAAAATTTTCCTCCATTTTAAATCAAATTAGAAAAGACTGCAAGAAATTACTTTGGACCAACAGCCTCCATTTGTTGCCTTTCCTTAATATCTTTTTAAGCAAACACAGATGGCTTGTAAGCTCGTCCACTTCTTTCAGAAAAGCCTTCTTTGGGCCCAAAATAAAAAAATTAAAAATTTTTTTTAAAAAAATCAAAATATAAACCACCACCCCAAAAAAAACCCCCACCACTCACAAACCAAACAAAAAAAAAATTTTTTTTTTTTAAAAAAAGCACATACAGTAACAAAAATCTGTTTATATATTCTCAAAATTGGTTTTCTATATCAGGATTTTAGTAAATTCCATCTACTGGAAGGGGAAAGAAAAAAAAAAATGAAAGAAAAAACCCACAAACTTTGTTCAGCGTTTCTGCCCATTTTAATTTCCAGGGTAAGAATTCATCTTCTAGGAGACAAAGCCTCATAGATCACGTCCAGCCTAATGGACTGATTTACCCAAGAACCTCTCCCTCATGATGGTAGAGGGGTTCAAAGCTCTTCACACCCCCCTTCCTCCTGGCACTTTTGCCAGAGCAAAAAGCACTAGAATACAGGATACACCAAAATGGGGGTCTGGTGTAATCCTGAAATCAGCTGATTAACAAATTGAAGCATGATGCTTTGTTATTGATGCTGCAGCCAGAAAAACCAAAACTGTTTCTGACACCAGAGATTCAAGAGTCCAGGAAAACCAACTCTTCCTCCTCAATCTACTTGAGCTTGACAATCTGTGCTTGTGGTCAGTGACTTCCATCAGGGGACAAAGACAAGACTGGTCTTGTCGAACTCCCTTACATCTCAAGCTTGTATTTCAGTGCCCTTCAAGCAGCAGACATGCAGTGCTTTCAGTATGTGCTTGTACACTGTATACTTTTAGAGACTTCATACAGAGGCCAGGAGCCCTGCCTGCAGCTGGTGTGCCTGCACACATCATGCTACAGCAGTAGTATATATTCTGAATGGTCCACCAGGAGTGCCACATTCTCTCTAAATGCATCATAATAATCAGGTCTCTGATGAGCTTTATTTAATTCCAGCCTATTGTCTTCATTATTCATTTCTCCCTCTGCCAATGCTGCAAAAAGCAAACCAGTGAGCTTCAAAAAAAAAAAAAACAAAAACAACAAAAAACCTCAGAGAGGACCACCCAGGACAGAATCAGTGCAGCCTCAGAGAAATTACACTGGGACATAATTGTCCTGAGGCTTTCTAAACAGGACAGGCTTATTCTTGTCTAACCTTGAAGAAAAGGGACACATGACCCTTCTGCTCCCAGCCACAGAGATGACTGTGACTGCCTTCTATCATCTTGATACTCTGAGAATTTTTGTTACATTTACTTCAGTTCCTTGCAGCTCAACTGTCATTTACCAGCCACTGGGATCATATTGTGGAAATATGAAACAAATATATTCTGAAGTCTCGGAACCAAAACAGAAAGAACCAGTTCTGTCAGCAAACCTATTTTTTGGTTTGCTACTTCCAAAGCAGAAATAATTTCAAATTAAGATCTTTATTACTTCTTGTAAGACTTTTTTTATCAGTTTGTATCTTCCCTTACAGAATTCTCAAGAATATACCTTCCCTCTTAGTCTTTAATAAGTTTTAATGCAGCATAGATATTTGATTAACTACAGTGAAAACTTGGCCATCTGAATACCCATCTACCTAGTTGTAAGTGATCTTTCATGTTAATCTTCAGAGGTGTGTAATACTTCGAGGTTTCACCTCTGAGCTACATGCAATCACACAATCACCTCTCAATTCTATAGCAGTGAGAAGCTGCTCAGCGCATTGCTGTTTCTGCCAAAGTTTACTGTATTAAATTTGTTCTAGTGATTGCTAAACTGCTGTTCTGCTGTGCTCTGACAAATACACTAATTGCCAAAATACTGTATTTCACAATTAATGATCCATTTACCTAAGCCCAAAAAGAGGAGAAAGACCAACAGGAGAGAAGCAGTGTCACCTGTTTCAGAGCACATCATGTCACACAAAAACCTACAGTATGCCAATAAGACCACAGAACCATTGAAGCACTGCTTTATATTGGACAGAAGAAGCCAGATTATTTTAAAGCCAGATAGAGGATTTTACTAGAGTTTCTACTAGACTTCATGAGTATTGGTGTCCAGATCTTAGGTTATTTGGAAAAAAATGTCCACAAGCTTACTCAAAACTCTGCTCTTATTCACAAATAGAAAAAGATAACAGCTGGTGTGAATTTGTGTCCTCAAAGTAATATTAGAACTTGCTACAAGTTTGATGAAGTGAAGTGTCAAACGCCTGTCTCGGAGCTGTATAGCAGCCAACTACATTAGTGAACCGAGATGATCCTCAAGACTGCTTTTGGCATCCACAAAGCAATCTTTCCACCCTCCTTTCCAAGGAAGAGTGTAAATACCAGATTTCAGACCACCATCGTTTCCATCCTTTTAAAGTTTAGATTTCAAAAGGATCTTGGGAAGGAAAAAAAAAAACAACAAAAAAACATAACAAACAAAACCAGACAATTCTTCAATTCTTTCACTGCAGGTCAATTGCAAGAACTTTTCTTCCCTAATGACACAGCATCTGTGTGTTTTTTATTTTGTTATTGCTTCTATTCCTTGTAAAGTCTGCATTTCCCATTGTTTCCAGAAAATAATTAAGCAAGCCAAGGAGTAAGTCTAGCAGAGATTTAACTCAAAACCCAAGAGCAGTTCAGAATATGATCTCTCTCAGTTGGATAAGACAGAATGAAGTACTGTACAAAGACGATCTCTCATATGCTTAGCTCAAAGGTGTTCAACTATGAACAAGAGCTGAAAAGCTGAAAGTCACCAGAACGGGTCTGAAAAACATCAGATTATTACTCTGTAGGTTTTCCCCAAATCTGAGGTTTAGAACTGACAGCATGAAGACATGATTGATAAATTTACCCCATAAATGAAGAGCAACTACCATACATGACACAGCACTGCCATTAAATGAACCTAAAACCATAGGACATTTTAGAAGCAACATTTGTCTCCACACCTCCCCAGCAACCCCAATTCTAATCCACTGCATGTTTACCATAGTTGCTGTGCTTTGAGATGATTCTTCTGTACAAACTGTTGACACAGCCAGGAAAGGTAGTCTGGATGAAGAGGATAATGTTGATGTCTCCATGCCACTGTCCTCATTTAGAGCAGAAAGACCAACCATATGGTGTCCATTCAGTTCACTAGCTTTACTCTGAGTACAGGTCTGCAAAGAGCTGAGAGAAGTGCCGTTGTGGAGACAGGTAGTGCTGTGGAAAGTGCTCATGAGCTTTGATAATTTTTGATCATTCTCATCAGAGTCAAGTTTAGGAAAGGAGAGGGATCTGATATTGCTCACTGAAGTGATAGGGGACAGGGACACTTTGGAAGACAAGGACATCTTTTCACAGTTTCCCAACTGTGGTAAAGTGATAAAGCCATTTGGTTTGTGAAGGGGCTTGAAGTCCAATGTGGTCCTTTCTATGGATGCCAGAACTTCCTCATTTTGCAACACAGGCTCAGACCCTCCTTTGGGCAAAGTATTTTCTAACAACTGATCAACAACTGACCCAGTAGTACCAACATGAATTTCAAGAATATTTTTTAATTCCTCCTTATCATTGATAGTTTCTAATTCCAGTTTGTCAAATGGGTCTTCTTCACATTCAAAATCAGCTGGGTTGAAGTCTGCTTTTGGATGAGGTGGACTGAGAACCTTTTGCTTCACAGCACTGCTGTTGGCTGGCGTGGGAGTAAGAATATTATCATGCTGCAGGCTGGCAAGGATGGGGTTAATAGGAGGAGGCATGGCCTCAGGGCAAGGTCCCTCTGAGAACCTCATTTTGTTGCTGACCTCTGGAGCTGCTTTTGAGTTTGCTAGCATTTCTTCTGCCTTTTTTTCAGCTTCTCTCTGAGCAGCTTCATTTTTTTTGATATCTTCAGCCCACTCAATCATTTTCTTTTCCAGTGAGAAGTCATACTGACCAAAAGTGAAGAGGAAAGGAGAAAAAAAAAAATTAAGGATCATAGCCACTACTTCTAACAGCAACATAAGTAATATAGAATAAGAGCTACGTGAATAACCATAGACAGACAAATTTTTTTCTAAGCAGCTCTTGTAATTTATGCACTAGTAAAGTCAGAAGATACCAGAACTAGTTCTTTTTGCCTCTAGCAGCAAACCCTGTTTATAGTCTGGATTAGAATATCATATTTTGCCTCCTTCCTACATTTAGTTTTGCTTTAGAGCTACTGATCATCCCAAGATCAGTTTCACAGCCCTCCCACCCTCTCCTTCCAAGACAATGAATGTAGCAAGGGAAGTCTAAATGCGTTCCTAGATGGACAACCATATCCAGATGTGGTACCACTAAACTACCCTGTCTACAAATTCTACAAGTCATTCAAAACTACAGCAGAGTATTTCTGCATCTAAAGACCAATACAGTATTACTTGCTTACCCCTAAAAGATTCCTAAGGGAATTGACATTAAGAGTTTTACATCCACTAGTTTAAGAGGTACTGGTATTCTTAACCCTGTGCCAATGGCTCACCAGATACAGGCTACATCAACGATGACAACTACCTGCAGTAGCAGATTTTGCTGCAGTTACTGGCATGACAGGATCCTACAAGCTTTTCTCATTTAATATTGGCTCCTTCAGGGCCAGGTTAGCACAGGAAGGCATTTGTAAGCTACTCACTATCAGCTTACTGGCCACCGTAGTGACCTGGTTGAGAGGACAAAATTCTGAACAGACCAAATCTATTTAAAGCTTTAATATCTTATGAAAAATTAACATCCTCAAATGCTCTTTATATAACCATAAAATGTTCAGAGAACACAGCCTACAAGCTGAGTCCAGGGTATAACCTACCTGTGACTCACATGAAGTCATAAGATAACCTCGCCAGGATAATGGCACATAACAAAACAGGAGTGCTCTTACCATAGGACTGCTAGGTCATACAAATTCCTAGCTCTAAAGAGCAACAAGCCAGCAAGGCTTGCTAGGCCTCTACTACGTTTTTCTGGAACTCACTATGTGTTGCATCATATCCTGTCCTATAGCAGGCTCCAGTGAGATCCTGGAGACCTGTTGTCTTAACTGTATAACAGTTTTCCCTTCCATTAGTTCTAAGACTCCAAGAGGTGTGATACACAATTTATCAGCAAGGTGACTGAAAAACAACTCATTGGCAGAAGTGCTGGGCACTACTCATTACACGTTCTTTGCTACGTGAGCAGGGAGGTGGTTGAGGCCCCATCCCTGGGGGTCTTTAAGGCCAGGCTGGATGAGGCTCTGGGCAGCCTGATCTAGTGGGAGGTGTCCCTGCTCATGGCAGAGGGGTTGGAACTGGGTGATCCTTGTGGTCCCTTCCAGCCCTGACAGACTCTGATTCCGTTTTAGCAGAGGACTTAGTAGTGTTGGCTTGATGGTTGGACTTGATGATCTTAAAGGTCTCTTCCAACCTAAAGGATTCTATGATTCTAACTATCATAGTTTTGTGTATATGTTTTTTTATATACATATATATACACCCCCCGCCCCCCCAAAATTGACGAAAGCTGTATTTTCTTAATATTAAAAAATGGGGGATATTTATATAAAAATATATGGCTTTGAGCAATTTTGCTTCCCCCCCATTTTTAACAGCTTTCACTACAATTGTCAAATTTGCACTGCAAGATGTACAGTCCACATAACCACATCATATTATGCAAAGTACTGCAGTCCAATTTGGCATACTATACTTGAGCCTCAGCTTGGCAGGAAAATGGAGACATAGCACAACGAAGCCAGCAACAGAACATTAGAGTCTTCTTTAGCTCTCCCAAACCAGCTTAACTGTGTAGAAATACGTGTATTAGGAGAATCATGTATTCATTTAATGGTTAAAAAGAAAAAGCCATGATATAGAGTAATTGAGATATTCAGCTCTCCAACAGATGAGTTTAAGGCAATGGAAAAAATAAAAAGGGAGGGGGGAGGGAAGCAAAGCAGAATCATCTACAACAATCTGTTGCAGCTGAAATGAAAGCAATCATCAGTTTGAACTGACCAAGGAAAATCATGGATCCAAAAGAGAAAACATAGTTCAACTATATTTCCTGTATCACAACCTGCATTTGGAGATAAAATTTCCAACATTTATGCTAAACCAATTGTTTTTATGCTACCAAGAGCTTAAGGTAACAGAGACATGCTCCTCAAAGACCTGAAAGCCATCCATACCAAGGCTGGAACCTGTTTGCCCTACATCTGGAAAAGAAATCCCACTCAGAACTGCACAGAAAACAAGAACTGGAAATTTATTTCTTCATCCCACTATTGCAGAAACCTATAAAATACAGTCATAGAAACATTTGTGATCCTCAAACAAGATTCTGCAAGTATGTCATAGCATGAGTGTATCAGTTCTTACCATTTTTCCTCTTAAAAATGCTACTCAAATTTAGTCAGGGTAACATTTAGGCCTATAGCTATTACAAAAAAACATTGCACTTCTTTGAAGTAGATAGAGTAAAATAAATTCACAAGGGTTTGTGGTGACAGCACGAGGGGTAATGGCTTTAAGCTAGAAAAGGGTAGATTTAGGCTAGACATTAGGAAGAAGTTCTTCAGTATGAGGGTGATAGACCACTGGAATAGGTTGCCCAGACAGGTGGTGGAGGCCCCATCCCTGGAAACATTCAGGATCAGGCTAGATGAAGCTCTGAGTAGCTTGATCTAGTTGGAGATATCCCTGCTTATTGCGGGGGGGTTGGACTAGATGACCTCTGGAGGTCCCTTCCAGCCCAGACATTCTATGATTCTAATAAATAAACGCTATTAGGCTTTTTAAAGTGATAAGAAGTAGAAGCTTTTTGCACTGACTACCATATTTTTATCTTTCTATACATTCTAACAGATCTTCTGCAACTACTGCCTGGCACATGAAATGACACTACAGGACTGACAAGACTAACATTTAAACGTGTGCAAACTGTGACTACTGCAATTAACAGCACCACATGTTGGGAGCCAGGGGTGAGGGAGCAGAGAATAGAATGGACAGGCAAAACATTACTTACCTGGACTTCTCTGACAAGCTGAGAAAAATCAGGCAGGCAGAAACCAATGGGCAGTCCAACTTTTGCTGGGGTTTTGAATTTGTGTCCTATCTTAAAGGGGACATCATCAAGATAACTGAAAGGCCCTAAGATCAAAAGCAAAAACTGTATCAAAACAAAACTCATGCATTTAATGCATTCAGTTAAGACTCACATTTCTGTATTCGTAATCTGTTTTATCGCTGCTGCCCCAACTACACCAGGTGACTCAACACAAAGGAAGTTGCTTGATCAGAAACATATTGAATCTGTTTGGACTTCATTGCCTCACTTCCAGTGTTTTTGCTGTGGGTTTGTTTTGGTGCTATGTTTTGGGGGGTATTGTGTGTTTTTGTTTATTTGTATCTAAATGTTCTAACTCATAAGTATTAAAACTCCAAACACACACACACACAATCACCCAACAACTGAACAGATTTTGAAGCCAATATACTGTATGGGGTCTGGCTGAGCTGATTTGCCCATAGCAGGTCTCCTGGTGCAGGGCTTTTGTGTTGGGAGTTAGAAGGGTGTTGATAACACCCATGTTATGACTACCACTGAGCAGTGCTCACACAGCACCAAGGCTCTTTCTAACATTCCCCCCACAATGGGATAGGGGGCAGGAGCTTGGGGAGGAACATAACCAGAACAGCTGACCTGAACTGACCAAAGGGATATTCCAGACCATATGACATCAGCTCAACTATAAAGCAAGTACAAAGGGGGTGGTGGTGGGCTACTCCTCAGTCCTCTGGAGCAACCGCTACGTGTTTTGGAGCCCTGCTTCCCAGGAAAGGCCAGACATCGCCTGCTGATGGGAAGTAGAGAATAAGTCTTTGGGGTTTTCCTTCGCTTCTGCGCACAGCATTGCTTGGTTTGCTCTCTAATTAAACTGCCCTTGTTTTTACCCCCAAGGGTTTTTTCTCCATATTATTTTCTTTTCCCCTTTTGCTTTGTGGATTAGGGAGGAGAAAGGGGGAGGGTGATAGAGTGGTTTGGTGGGCATCACTTGCTCAACCAGGGTTAACCCATCACAACAAGTTAGCCAGCCTGCTTACATTACCATTTGTTTTGATTTTGTTATTTTGAAGCCAGAAGCATGTTCCACCACAACATACTGTTTTGATAAATATTTAAGACAGGCTGAATTCTATCTCTGAACAGTGTCTTTGCTACTCTGGTTTAGGAAACAGAATAGAAAAATAAAATGAGACTCAAAAGACAAGCAGTTCAGAGTGTTCACAGATAAGAGAATAACTGCTGAAGAGCTGCAGCTATTTAATAAAGAAATTAATTGTCTTGCAGCAGGATCACTGGGCCAAAGCAAAGGAGACGGCCTAAAAATTAAGGTTTGATAGGCCATTTTTATTAATCCTTAACCATGTATTTAAGTGAGGCATTTCTTATTCTGTACTCTTGTAAGACTGAATAAAAAGCTCAAGGAAAACTAGTATTCTCCAGGACCTTCTAGTCTGAAAGATTATCCAGGAAGACCAAGGTTGAGTTTTTAAAAGCAGAAATTTCAATAACATGAAAAATCATGTTGGAAATTTCACATGAACCTCCCAGTATTGCCTTGAATGATTACTGATTTGAAGCTACATTACATACAACAAACTGAACTTTCATGTTCCACAAAAATATTAATCCTCTCAAATTACACCCCATTTTCTAGAAGATAAGCAGATATACAGGCAAACAGATTTGACGTTTGATATCATCTCCATGACAATAAGTCTCAAATGTAGAAAAGTCCTGGTTTGGGGTAGAACAGAGCTG